AGACGTGTGCTCTTCCGATCTCCCCAAAACCCCAAAACCCCAAAACCCCATGTGTACTATTCTTTCAGAAATGAGAAATAGATATAAATACATATTCAAAAAAAATTGAAATCTAATTATTGATTTAATCAAAACTTAGAAGATGACTAATTTTAGATTTTTGGGAGGAATATCAGGGGGTAACTTTGATTGCACCAACAAGTGATGGTTTTTTTATTAATTTATATTCAAAATATTACAGAAAGACACCTTACTATCTAAATTATGCTTTTTAATATTAAAGAATAATATATAAAACATGCATAATATATACGCATGAGTGATCTAATAAACTTAGACTTCATAAGAATGATATTGTTTGAACATTTTAATAAAGATAAAAATGCATTATATATTGTATTTGTACGACTGCGCTACCAAAGATATATATCTATTGATTCATCATCACTAATCCTTACGTGTTTTCTCATTCAACTACACCAGCATTAATTGAAGCATTCAAAACTTAGAAGAGAGCTATAGAGTGTAATGTAAAGATGCAAATTTAATTACCTGAACCAACAACCAAGAATAAGAAGAGTCCAAGAACAACTGGGCCAACTGGGATTTTATCTTCTGATTTCTACATAAATAGATTAAATTTAGTCTATACTGATAGATTATATTACTCTAAGGGAGCTAGGTGTCTCACCACTCTTATGGATGTTTTACTCGTACATATTTCCTCTATGTTTAAGTCTTCTATCAGCTGTTGCTTTTCCCTATTGAGATAGATTTAATAAGAGTTCGTCTCAAAATTTCATTAACCCTTTTACTATCCCTTAAATTGAGGAGATATTGGCTGATGATTGAATTCAAATGCATTACTTACCATTTTATTTTGTATTTTTAATCGATAATAATTAATTATTATTAGTCCCTATAGGAAAAACTTTTAAATTTACTATTTTCTCAAATTTAAAATTATATTGCCCGCGCGGGGTTTTGGGGTTTTGGGGTTTTGGGGTTTTGGGG